GAGCCTAATTATATAGGAGAGTAGGATATTAAGTCAAATTGCTAGCTATAGAGGCTTAGGTATAAGGACAACTTTGAGCGTTAGTACGAGGTACGGTAGTAGAATTATACCGGAAAGCGCCTTAAAAAGCGGAACGGTTGTACTATGTTCGATCGGTCCCTAATTACCTAGAGGAGTAAGTCTCGGATATCTTAGGTATAGGATTTCCTAGAGGAGGGAATGCTTTAAGAAGATACGACGCCTAAAGTCGTATACAGATGCTATAACGCTATACTAAAACATCTAGTACTAAATACTAGTATAATATCTATCGAGAAGTATCTCGACTCCTCGAACTACTAGGAGAAATAAGATAAGCGAGGGTTTACAAAGGAGATATTTACGGCCGCAAAGTATCGATAAGTAAGTACTAACTAACGCCGACTATACCTGCCGACTACGTCTGCCGACTACGTCTAGCTACTTATACTAAGACGATATTTCTAGACTATTAGCAATCTACGGTAGATAAGGGACCTAGGCTATATACTAGACGATTTCCCGTACCTATACTTTAAGATAATTATCGACAACGGTCTACTATTCTAGTTCTTTGAACGACCCTCGGTAAAATAGACTTATATAGTACTACTCCTAGGACAGGTCGAGACAATTCTATTCAAATACGCGTCGATATACCGAAGGATACTCGATACTAAGGTTATAGACTCTGCCGACTCCCTTAAAGCCCGTCTCGCTAGAAGATTCAAGATAGCTATCGTATATAATAGTTAGCAATCTAGGACTATAAAAACCTTATTCCTAACTATACGGGTCTACTAGATTAACGACTAATAGACTTAGTACGAAGGGATGCTTAGTTTCCCTTATATTACTAGCCGTTATACTAGTAATCATCTTGCGGAGATACTATTCAAGATCTTATAAGAGTTCGAGATTAAGCGCCGATTAACTGCTATTACGTACGACAACGCCTCTAATAATAAGACGCTATACAATACGATATAAGGATACTTACTCTACTATTATTACTCTCCTCTAATATTCTATAGTGTTTTAGCAATTAATACTTGTTAAGAGAGGTACGGTATAACGGTTACTAAGCTACTAACGAGCTTGGAGCAGCTACCTCTCTATCTAGGTACGGAGACTAGTCCCGAATTAGAGATAGGAGAGGAAGAGGAGGAGGCAATTACAGAGTATAATCGAGGTAGCCGTCCGGAGCGATTTCCCTACTTTGCCTATACTACTTAACTTCCCCTAAAGGCCTTTTTCGACCGCCTAGGGCTTTGTCCTACGAACGACCTTTCCGAATTCTAGGATTACGATAAGGATAGAAAGATATTATAGAGAAGAAGATTATAGAGTAAGCAAATTAGCCGTCCTTAAGCTAATAGTATACCCTATCTTCTTTTAAAGGTAAGATTAGTATCTACGGCTAATAAACTATAAACCCTTCTACCTCGAAAGTATAGTCGACTCGCGTAGTTAGCAATTATAGTCGGCAGTTCGTTACTCTAGCTAATCTTAATCTCTAGATCCGGAAGCTTTACGTCTTTATTAACTCGAGCTTCTAAAGATTCGAACAGTTTATCGACCTCTAGAAAGAGATGCTTTAAAAGAAGTAGCTATTTGCAAAGTACCGTCGGTAGAAAGGCGTTCAAGATCGTATCCTAAGGGTCGTTTAAGACGTAAAGATAAGGTAGTCCTTAACAACGTTAATACTCGATCGCTTTAGTAGACTCTAAGTAGTTATTAAATCTTATATCGAGCGACTTAACCTAAGTAAAGATATAGGTATCGATTCCGAAGAATAGCAAAGGGTAGAGTACCTTATCGACCTTACGAAACTATTTGCAGCGGCGATAGCGGTAATTAGAACTACGAAAGGTCCGACGATTTACCTTGTCCTTATATACTACAACAAGCTTTTCGATATTCTAGAGGAGGCGATAAAGCGACTTAAGAATAAGAGGATACCCTAGAAGAAGGATGTCTTTTAGGTATACGAGGCTGCTTAGGCTAAGCTAGAGAAATATTATCAAGATACCTAGGATCGATTTAGCGATTACTACGGTATTAGCATCCTCCTTACCCCCTGCCTTAAGCGGAAGTTCTAGGTACGTAATAACTTTAGGGATAAAAGTTACCGCGCGTATTACGAGGGTAAGCTAAGGGTAGAGTAGGAGAAGAGCTATCGTTTATTATCGAGTATCTCTACCTAGTAGGGCCGTTTTGGAAGGAGTCGGTATAAAGGCTATATCGACTTTACTCTTAGTAGGAGTATAGAGTCTTCTTAAAGTTAAAGATATAGTACTAACGAGGATAACGAGCTCGCCGACTATTTAGACGCTAATATAGATAAAGGGGATCTATTCGAGGTACTAAAGACGTAGTCTTTAATAGAGTCTAAGTACTCTACTCTCGTATTAATAGCGTAGGATATTCTCTGTATTCCTGCCGCCGGAGTTAGGTATAAGCGCGATTTCAGTATCGCTCGATACTAAAGTCGTTTCAATCGCTAATACACTATAGCAACATTCTCTAGATTAATAGTATCTCGTTTTCGCTATCGGGACGATAAGTACGATACTAGAGTTCTTATCGCCTAGGAGGCTATAGAGGTTTCCTAAGCGCTTCTTAATACTCTAACTTTATAGGAGATCCTTAGTAAAGACCGAGAGCAGACGAAAGATCTTATAGAACGGATTAGTAACTTAGATACGATTAGCGATAACGAGGGTAATATAGTAGAGGAGCTAAGGCGATTAGTACGCCTAAGCTTCAAGCTTGCGTAAGAGTGCCTCCGGGATACTACGAGACGATTATAGGGAGATTGCTTTAAGCTTATATAAAGTTTACCTGCCGACTATATTTACCGACTATAGTGCTTAAGTTTCAAAATATCACAAGCTATAATCTAGCGTATATATTCTTCTATATTTATTTATTCGATCTAACTACTCTCTTTATCCTCTTATCTATATCGGGCTTATATACAGTTTCTTTTCTAATACCTAGTTCAAATAACTTGCTCTTAGGGCACTCGGTTTCTAGGCTTTTTCTTTCTATTTACGAAAAATCAATACCTAATAGGTACGCAATACCTACTAGGTATCGTAATACCTACTAGGTATCGTAATACCTACTAGGTTTGTACCTAACCCGATAGGTTAGGTATACCTAGCTAAATACCTATACCTATTAGGTATTGCTAATACCTAACCTACCCTACATACCTACTAGGGTAGGTTGTACCTATAATAAGGCCTATACTAATCTACTATAATAGCCTCGGCTATATCGATTGCGTAGAAGCGTAAACAATCGATCGTATACAAGACTCCTCGTACTAGTAGAAAGGGACTTCCTTCGTATATAGGTAGTAAAAAGCTTCTAGGTACTCGTATTAAGAAGGGATATAGATATGCCCTAGGTAGTAAGTAATTCTAGAATCCAGATTTGTAGTCGGCATTTGTAGTTAGTACTAACTTTCTTAAAGCATTAGCTCTTAAAGAGATTAGGAAGTGCTAGAAGGAGAGCCTGCTCTATATTAAGAAAACCCTATTTACTAGACTTATTAAGGAGCTCGTTATAGATTAGGCTTATATATCTCTTCGCATTTAAGCAAGCGCTCTTAGTGTTCTTTAAAAATATACTAAGTCTCTCTTAGTAAGAATCTTTATCTATAAGTCTTCCTATTTCTTATTCCTTCTAATTAATTACTTACTTACTTACTTACTTACTTACTTACCTCCTCTAGCGGCTAACCTTTTAGCTATCTACGCTAAGCGCGTTATACTCTAAGGCAAAGATATAGAGTATCTTCGCTCGCTTCTTAAGGAGTAGGGTATTTAGCCTAACGATTTCGTAGTCTGCCTTTATAATTCTAGTCCTATTAATCCTAATTTTATCTATATAGAGCTAAAGAAGAACAAGGCTACTAAGGCGCTAAAAGCAAAGGCTACGCTAAAATATAAGCCTCTCCTAACTAAGTAGCCTCGACGAATCGTTAAAGACGATTCTAACGAGGATATACTAGACGCTACTTAGAATCCGACTATAGATAACAATAATAGCGAGGATACTACTGCTTAGTAGGCAACTCTTAGTAAGTTACTCTTTTATTATTAATTATAATATACTAATTTAATAGCTTAGGATAATACTCCGCTACTCCTAGATAATAAGTAGGACGATAATAAGCAGGATGAAGATAAGTAGGAGTAAGATAAGTAAGATTAAGATATCCGAGATTAAGATGTCTAAGGTCGAGACTTTTAAGCTAGTTATAATTAAGAAGAGCTAGATAATAATTCTAGCGATAATAAGCAAACTCTTAAGTAGAGGCTAGAAGCCTATACTAATAAGCTAGTAGCGGTAGCTTATACGCTTACTATTGCGAAAGAGCGTTTAGAAGATAGCTTATACTATCTCCGTTTAGACGCTCTCTCTTTACGCTTCGGAAGGAGAGAGGTCGTTCTGTTCTATACTAATAACGTTAAACTTTCGGATCGGAGATACTACTATCCGGACCCCTACGCTTTTCAAAGAGCGTCTAAGGACAACCTATATATAGATAGGTAGTTACTTCGTTATCTTTTTTTCTATTATTCTAAGCTGTATATTAACGATATCCTTTATAGAGAAACCTGCGAAAGTGATCCTAGAAAATACTCCTAGCAATACGATACTACTATCCTTAGAATCTTAATATAAAAACTGCTTTCTAGATTTGCAAATAACACTGATTTTGAGCGTAAGTAACTATCGATAACCTATATCAAACTCGACAACGACGACAGATACAGCTATCTAGCCTTTACAAAACTCGCTTAGAATTAGCCTACCGAACTCCTCTAAGTATCGTTGTTAGGCAGGCGTCTTCTTCGGGCGGGCGTCGTAGGCGGGCGGGCGTTATAGGTAGGCGTCTTCTTCTCGGACGGACGTCGTAGGCGGGCGTCGTAGGTAGGCAGGCGTCGTAGATAGGCGTCTTCTTCTTAGGTAGGCGTCGTAGGTAGGCGTCTTCTTCTTAGGTAGGCGTCGTAGGTAGGCGTCTTCTTCTTAGGCGGACGTCGTAGGCAGGCGTCGTAGGTAGGTAGGCGTCGTAGGCAGGCGTCTTCTTCTCGGGCGGACGTCGTAGGCAGGCGTCGTAGGCAGGCGGGCGTCGTAGGTAGGCGGGCGTCGTAGGTAGGCGTCTTCTTCTCGGGTAGGCGTCGTAGGTAGGCGTCTTCTTCTCGGGCGGGCGTCTTCTTCGGGTAGGTATCGTAGGCAGGCGTCTTCTTCTCGGGTAGGCGTCTTCTTCTCGGGCGGACGTCGTAGGCGGGCGTCGTAGGTAGGCTAGCGTTGTAGGCAGGCGTCTTCTTCTCGGGTAGGCGTCGTAGGTAGGCGTCTTCTTCTCGGGCGGGCGTC